ATAAAATAATGGTACAACTTATAGTTTTTTCTTTTATTTATAAAGTTGTACTTGATAAAAATAAAAAATAAAATTGAACATTTTGAATATTTATTGATTATTATGATAAATTATATAAAATATATATAAAGTATAAATATTTTGCAAAAACACTTTTATTTACAATAACTGCTTCAACGCATTGTGGTATGCTTGCAATTTATTTTTTATAGTTTCTGTCAACTCTGGGTTATTGTGCCAGATCTTGATAATCTCTTCCATAAAATCTTGCTTATTAGTAAGATTTTTTTTTTCCAATCTCTTGCTTTACTATTTCCCAAATGTTTTCTATGTGGTTAAAATCATGCGAGTTGTCTGGCCATAGCAATACATCAACTAAGCCGTAACAGTTTTTATTGTGTGGCAAGTTGTACCATCTTGCATAAACATAAGATATTTAACATTTGTTTTAATATTTTTGAATTTTTTTGTCATTTTTTGACATTTTTGGCAGGACATCAATCCCTCTTTTTTTAGCCTTCTACAAATGGTGTGGTCTGACACAACAATTACAGCTTCATAGATAAGCTTAGTCAATAAGTTTAGTGGCTTTTTTTCTGTTTTCCAGGCAGATATTTCTGATTATACTGTCCGCTCTTGGTGTTTTCTAGCGTTTAGAAAGTGGTCTTCTTGGACCAAACTCTTCACCTGTATCAATTCTTTTTCTTACTTGCATTACGGTTTGGTAAGAAACCTTTTGTGTTTGTAAAGAAACCTTTGGTAAGAAACCTTTGTGCAATTTTTCATTAAAAATAATTTGTATTTTGTAAAAGACATGTTTATTTATTTTTAATGTTACTATAATAATAATATCAATGTATAATGTCGGTTGTTGACCAATGGTTTATAATCAAAATTTAATATGGCTGGCGATAAAGGTAAAGAGAAGTTTAAAGGAACAAACATTAGGTATTTATTTGTAAGTTAAGTGTAAAATTATATATTTTTAAAAATCAGAGTTCGTTTTTTTGATGCTATTTTATTTTTAACTTTTTGATGTATTTGATGCAAATTACTCAGGCAATACCTTTTTTTATAGAGAGCGTCTTGTCAATTAAAGTGACCGCTACAGTCGCCGAAACAAGAAAAGGAATAATGACTTTATTAAAATACGCACTCAACAGATCAAATGGTGGTGGTCGGCGCGTAAAAGGCGATTTACCCGATATATAACATTCATACTTTTTCCTAATTGTTCTGGAACTATTAATAATAGTTATTATTGATAAATATATTACAGATAAATAAAACTTTTTTTTTTTCAAACATTTTACTTTATTTGCATTTTATATAAAGTCCCTTGAAGCAATTTAGTGGTATCTGATTAATATACTTGAAATATTAATATTATAATACATAATTCTCTGCGCAAATTATTGCTTTTTTATTGTGTTATTTTATTACAATTAAAGTTGAGATAATTTTTTAGTTAATTGGGTTTAACCAAAATAAAAAACAAAAATCAACGTTAAATTTACGTTGTTTCAACGCTGTTCTAACGTCGTATCAACTACGTATCAACCGAATATATAACTTATTCAAAGGTGAAATATAGTTGATATGTAGTCGATAAGACGTTAGATCAACGTTGAAACAACGTAATCATCGACGTTGTTTTAACGTCGCAGTTTTCGACGTCGGATTTTATTTCCAATTCAACCAAATTTCAACGTTGTTTCAACGTGGCATATGGTCGGTTTGCGACGTTGTTTCAACGTTATTTCAACGTCATTGTGCCTGCTGGGTTCTGTATTTATAGCAACATTTATAGCAAAAAGTTTATAATAGTATCGCAGTTTATCATTATTTCATAATAGCAATATTATTTTATAATAGTATAGCAGAACTAAGAAGATCTTAGAGCATTATAAGCTATAGACTATAAAATGCTAAGAAATCGCCCACAAATTACCCAATGCTAAATTTATTTTTAAAAGAAGTAATAAAGATCTTCAGTTATTTAGGATGGCGATTTTCATTAAACTTAATAAGCAATATAGATTTTTTATTTAACATACGACTCTGCGCGGAAAAATTTTGATCGATTTTGTTTTTTTCAATGGTGAAACTTAGCGTTGCGTAATTTACAGAACAATCCCTTATTTTAAAGTTTAGATAAAGGATAAGCCAAAAAGTATATAAGGTCAAAAATTAAGAAGAAGTTGACGCAATGCAGTTTTTAAGTGAAAGTCAAACTGTAAAACTTGATATATGTTTAAGTATGTTTTAAATTACATAATATAAAGTTTATGTACGTAGGATATAAATTATTATATATTCGCTCAATTCGGGAACTCGCAGAATACCGTAAGTTCTTTGTCGTTGAGAACGGCTTAAAAGATTACGTGTTAACATTTCGTATTAATAAGATATTCTCAAAATAAATAAATAAATACATTTTATATACTTAATATACTTGAAAATAACAAATAATAAGGAATTAAGATTTTAAAGCATAAACAAATTTAAAGGAAAAAAGAAAAAAGGTTCTGTTATAAATGTTTTACATATTTAAGATACTTTTAACAAAATTGTTAAACAACTATTAACAAATTCTTAAGTTATAAATTAATGCAGTGTTTAAGATAAAGTTAAAAAAGAAACAAAAAAATAAAAGAATACACATATATCATCTTATAAAAAAAATGACTTTTTAAGTTTTTGTATAAAAGATTGACAACAAACCTCTTAAGAAAAGTCAAAATTCTTTAAAATTATTTTATTCCAAAATAATGCTCCTCGAAATAAAATACAGCATTTTCCAGAATTAGTTTGATAAACCATTTGAAAAATGTCGTTATTATTTCGTAAAAAGTTTTTAACTTTTTTTTTTTTATACAAATTATGAAAATGTACAAGAAAAATATTGTTTTCACATTTAAAGCATACATAATATATATATATATATATATATATATATATATATATATATATATATATATATATATATATATATATATATATATATATATATATTATGTAGGCTTTAAATGTAATATATATTATGTATGCTTTAAATGTGATATAAAGCATACATAATATATATATATATATATATATATATATATATATATATATATATATATATATATATATATATATATATATATATATATAAATATATATATATATATATGTATATATATATATATATATATATATATATATATATATATATATATATATATTATGTATGCTTTATATCACATTTAAAGCATACATAATATATATTACATTTAAAGCCTACATAATATATATATATATATATATATATATATATATATATATATATATATATATATATATATATATATATATATATATATATATAATATATATATAATATATATATATATATATATATATATATATATATATATATATATATATATATATATATATATATATTATGTATGCTTTATATCACATTTAAAGCATACATAATATATATTACATTTAAAGCCTACATAATATATATATATATATATATATATATATATATATATATATATATATATATATATATATATATATATATATATATAATATATATATATATATAATATATATATATATATATATATATATATATATATATATATATATATATATATATATATATATATATATATATATATATATATATATATATATATATATATATATATATATATATATATATATATATATATATGTATATATATATATATATATATATATGTATATATATATGAATATATATATATATATATATATATATATATATTTTTTTTTTTTTTTGTTTTTTTTTTTTTTTGTTCTTTATTAAAATATTTAATACAATATTTACAAATATATAATAAGAAAAATTTACATGCAAAAAAATCGTTACAAAAAAATAAAGAATTAAGATAAAGAACGCGGATACTCAAAGAAGACCATACAGGTCTTGTCACCGAGAACCGCTGTTGAAGAACTTTGATCTTAGTTTAGATTTTAGGAAAAACAAAAATAAATAAACACAAGTTTTTAACTTTTTTAAGTTATGGTCTTTATGGCTGGAACTAAAGTACTGAATCTTCTGAACCGGATGATTCAAGCGAAAACAATAATATCATAGTATTCTTAATAAATAAATACGTCTCGCATCTGACTCGATCACTGATTCTTGTTACTCAAATTTATCAGTTGCACTGATCTTAATTGTTAATTAATTAATAAATAAACGAAAATAATAAGAATATGATTGCACTAGGTACATCCAAATGCACTTCAAGATTGTCCAAAAGATTGTGTAGAAGATATTAGATAGCCAAATGATGGTGTCATTGTGTGAGAAGCCATAATTATTAAATGTTGATGCATTTACGTTAACGCTTTCGCCGACAAAAATGCAAAACCACTGTCAAAGGATGATTAACTTCCAAAAGTATCATACATACAATGTTTGCAGATACATCCAGTCACATACATCAAATTTTTTTTTGTATTTTTGTTTTGTTTTGTTTTTTTTTAATAATAATATATATATATATATATATATATATATATATATATATTTTTTTTTTTCCATTACAAAATTAAATTCAATATTAAAAGTATATACCGTTCGTAATACAAATTATTTACAAAATTACGAAATAAAATAAAAATTAAAGTAAACAAGTAAATACTAAATGCCTACTGTACAAATAATGTCAGTGGAACTTTTAACAAAATTCAAATAATGATGTTTAACTACAGTTTCTGACATAAACTTTAAATCAATATTGTATAAAAGTAAAATACAAATGAGTGTTGACAAAACTGGGTAAAATTAAAAGTATATAAATATATTTTCATTTGAGAATATTACTTTTTTTAGTTTTCGTTTGAACATATAATAATTCCATTCATGAGAAAAATCAAAATTTTTTAAAATTATTTGGTTCCATAAAAAAGCTCCACGAAAAGAAAGGCAAAATTTACCAAAGTTTGTTTAAAATTTTGGTTGTTTAATAAAATTATCATTTCTTAAAGAATATATATTTTTTTCTTTTAAAAAATATAAATCAAAAAAGGAAGCTGGAGAAGAGTTGGTTTTACATTTAAACATAAAACAAAGAACATTATAAACATTTACTTGATATATATTAAAAACATTCATGTTAAATAAAAGTGACCTTGAGTGAGTAAAACGATTTTTGAAATTTATAATACGTGCAATATGCTTCTGCTGACAATAAAGTGGCTTTAATTACTTTTATGGGTACTACCCCATGCAATATTAGCATAATTAATATGACATTAGCATAATTAATATGACAATATGTATATATATATATATATATATATATATATATATATATATATATATATATATATATATATATATATATATATATATATATATATATATATATATATATATATATATTAGGCGTGGATGCAGTATTTTTTGATAATTGAGATACCTAACTTCTAGAAATGAAGCAAATTCCAAAAAAATTTTTGTTTATACTTATATCAAATAAGAATGCTTTGCAAAAAATTGCAATGACTGGAGCCTGAGCGCTTTAACTCATTGTAATTGCCCTGAAAAATAAAATAAAACTTGCCTAACTAGTTGCTTAGTTTTTCAAAAGCTCTAAATAATTAAATATTAAAAATTTATATTAGCAAAAATTGCTTTAAATTTTATAAAATTCTACACAAGTTATGAACTAATACTTGTACAGGTTTTACACACAATCAAGATAAAACCAAAATAAAACCAAGATAAAATAAACCAGTAACCAGTTTTTAATGATTAAAGGTTATTAATGAGAAGTTGCTGCAAGAAATTTCTCTTTAATAACTATTGCCTCAGTCGTGAATGCATGTGAATCTCTTTTATGATTACGATAACTAATTATCGTAGAAGAAACATATTCTATCACAAGTTACTTTTTTCGAGGCCCAGTTGATTGGCTATCTGTATTATTCACTGGACTGAGGGAGCATTTCCCGTACTAGTTTTTAGCGCTGGCTCAGTATACAATACAAAGTAAAAAGTATTGATTAAAATGTTAAACAATACTTTGTAAAACATTTTAATAAGTAATGTCTGCTCAGGACGGCCAATTATTGGTCAGCCAACTCTGGCACAGTACTTCACTTGTTGTAAGTAAAGACGCAAAACAAAATTTTTTGATTAAGAGTGAACATAAAAAAAACTCATAAACACAAAAATAAAAATGTTATATTTTTAAGATTAATTTCTGCAACAAGCAAAAATAAAAAATAGAAAAAAAAAGTAAACTTAAAAAACAAAAGATAAAAAGAATAAAATAAAATATTAAGATTATGCATTTCAAAATAAAACCCGATTATTTTGTTAACTTATCAAAATTATTTATAAAATAGTTTTTATTCTTTTTATTTCTAAATTATGTTTTTTTAACTCATAAAAAAGACTTGGTAAATTGGTTTGTGGATAATTTTAGTCAATAATTGCAAAGTGCGTAAGTGAAGATTGAAAACCATTCACAAAAAATAGAGTAAAACTTATTTTTATAGAAACTGTTTATAAAGAGACATTTTTCAAACTTACCCAGTGGGCAAGGTGCGTAAAAAAGAGGTCTTGTAAACGTCTTTTGAACGTTTTGAACGTCTTTTGAACGTTCAAAAGATATCTTTTTTAGGTCCTGTGCAGTGGCGGATTGAGGTTTAGTGTCGCGGGGGGGCCAAGTCAATAAATAGGGGCGACCGGGGTTGCCTTCAGTAATTTAATCTTATATATATATATATATATATATATATATATATATATATATATATATATATATATATTAATTGTTTTAGGGGGCGCCGTTAGACCGTTCTAGGGGGGTGTGGGGGGCAGCTCGCCCCCCCCCCCACGCCCTATACTAAATCCGCCACTGGTCCTGTGCCCACTGGATAATGTGATTATAAAAATGTAAAACTAGATGATTTTTGAACTAATGTTTTTTGTGTGTGTTATGAGGTAAGAATGTAACTTGTCTTATGAGGTACGCATGCAACTATTAATATTTTAAATAGTGTTAAATTGCTTTAGAACTGATAATTTTTTACCGAGGAAAGACTAAATGTTGAATAAAGTACAATAAATAAATTTCAAAGTTTCTTCATCAATATAATGTATTAGTTTAGGTAAGATAGTATAGGATCATTTAGTTTAAGCAATAAATCATTTATGCTTTTATCTATTTTTATTTCAAGATATTTTAAAAACTTTTGCGGATGAAGTTTATTACCAATGTATTTTAATTCTGAATTGACTGTTTATATTATTGCAACTTGGTTTAAACTTTTTTTAGCTTGATAATTATTAAGAGTTACTTTATTGACGTTTATCCAGTTTGCAAAGCTTTTATGATTATAGTTAACAAGTTTGTTTATTTTTTTAATAGATATGTTTAAATAAAAAAAGTCCATCAGTCAAGTTTTGAAACTTACAAAACTTAAGATAAATCATTTATATAAGTTATAAATAGTCATGGTCATAGTATAAATTCTTGTGGTCACACCAACAATATTATCACGAATATCAGAAATTTTTCGATTTGCAAAAACAATTTGATTTCTATTAACGAGAAACGATTTGAATCTTTATAAGTTTAGCTAAAGTCATTTAAAAAAATGCCCATTAAAAAATTTTCCGTTTCTTTCAATATATATACTTTTGTATTGTTTTTCAAATTTATTGTTCAACCTCAATTTTTTATTGGGGACGGATCCAGTATTTTTTTTGATCTTTGAGATGGCTAACTTCCAGACATGGAGCACACTTGAAATATTTATATGTGTATACTTATGTTAAATAAAATGTTCGATAATTGAAACCAGCGAACAAAAAACTCCAAAGTTTTACCCCTCTCTCCGGCCCCAAACGTGAGAGCAACAAATCGGTAAAATACTTTTATAACTATTTTAAATTAGCCTTATATTTAACAATATTTTTAACATATTTAACAATATTTAACAATATTTAACAATATTTAACAATATTTAACAATATTTAACAATATTTAACAATATTTAACAATATTTAACAATATTTAACTTTTTTTAGAACTTCAAAAGTATGACCACATAAAGTGTAATGCAAATTTTATTTGGTCATAATTTTTGAACGCTAAGAGAATATACTGTGAAACCTAAAATTTATCGATTAGCATAAGTCCAATTGAGATAAGTACAAAAAATATTTAATTAACTCGTTGCTCACACGTTTTTTGCGGGGTAGGGGTCAAAAATTTTACGGTTTAATTGTTTCCAGACTCCATCACGGCAATTTTGTAAATATACAAACGTTTCGAGTTTGTTCCATATCTAGAACTCTCAAAGACTAAAACGGAATAAATTCCTTAGTGGTCGGAATAAACTCCTTAGTGGACGGAATAAACTCCTTAGTGGACGAAATATCACTTTTAGAAGCACCAATTAAAAAATGACTTTATTTTCTTTGAAGAGTTTACCCAACGGGCACGGGTACGTTTGTTGTACGTACAAAAGACGTCCGGACGGAACGTACAATTTTAGTTCAGATTTGGTTCAGATTGGAAATACTGATGTACGTCCAAATTTGAACGTACGCCGTATTTTAATATTCGACTTAAATTTTCTATTCTCAAGTTTAAGTTTACGAACACAAAAGTGCACGTCATGCGCAAATTATAAACTTGAGAATTAAAAATACTGAATTTCAAATTTTTTACATTATGCCGTTACTAAATATATATTTAGTAACGGCATAATGTAAAAAATTTGAAATTCAGTATGGAAGATTAAACTCATAGGTTAATTTTTTTCAATAAAGACGTATATTTTTGTTCATCCACTATGTTTATAATTTGTTCTTGTCTTCAATTTTTCTTTTCTTACTTTTATCATGAAGTGCTTTTGCGTCACTATTTGCCTTATCTATTTTTGAAACAATATATATTCTGGCTTATAACTTCCGGCAACGTATATTCCTATCTAGCCTTAACAATAAATAAATTCATAAAAATAACATATAGCTCTCAAACCGCAATGAAGTTCTAAGAGTCGCATACAGTTTGGATAGGAGGATATTTTAAATATATTATAAATCATTATTGTGATATGAAAACTGCTTTACTATTACATGAATGAAATTTTTTTTAAAAATATTTATTACTTTGATACTGTTCAAAGACAACTTCAATAAAAAAGACAACTTTAATAAAAGTTTAAGATTGTAGAATTTGTAAGCAGACAAGAACTCAAATTTTAATATCCCAGTGGACACCGGACTAAAACTATTATAAAAACTACTAAAAATACAAATTATTGATTGTATTTATTTAATTATTTTATTGAAGTTCTATTTTGATAAAAAATGATAAAAACAAAAAATAAAAAAACAAACATGCTATTATTATAAAAAATAGTTCAGCTGCGTAATTACGGTTTACCATAATATAACTTTGATACAGTTAAGATGTATCTAAGTTATAATCTGGTAAACTTCATAAGTTATGGTATGGTAAACTGCGTAGCAAATAACCGTGGAAAATATCATAAACTATTACTAAATATTTATCTGTCTAAAGTATTACAAATTATGACCAAATATTTATCTCTCTAAAGCTTAATCCTGCATGTGTAAACCTTTGAATTATTCGAAAGTATTGCAAACAACCATTCCATGAAAATTGTTCTATTGCCAAACCTTTTAAGATTGCAAATGTTTGATATTCCGTATCGTTGATGCTGGATTGAACTTTGCAACCAGAAAGTCGACTGAGAGTGTCATTAGTTCGATCATCTGCATAAATTACAACATAGGTTATTTGGAATATTTTCTTTAAATCTAATTTTATCCAAGCCTCAGTGCCATCATTAGAGAAAGCATCACAAATAGTTGCATAATCGGAATCAATAAGATTTTGAGGAACATGAATACTAAACGACGTTGAATCAGAAGGAATAGCGTACTTTGAAACTTTATTTTCGTCTAAAATTATATTGTCAGAAAAGAGCATAAAGCAGCAATAGAAACTGTTAAATCTATATTTTATTTAAATATAAGTTATTTTTTATTATAAATTTTAAATAACTATACAGAAAAAGAAAATATAAATTGCAATAAAAGATATCTTTAAAAAAGTAAAGAAAATAGAACGCAGAAAATTAAAGAAGACGTTAAGGTCGTGAAAACCGCTAAAATGTTCGGTTTATTGCTCAAATTTGTATTGTTTGAAATTGAATTTTTTAAAAATATAATCAATTAAAAATATAAAGAATGTTTTTTATGGTTTTAGTGTTTTTGTCAATTAGGTAGTCTTGGTGTACTGTTCTTAATTAGGGGGTGTAGTAATCAAACTATTGATTCTTTTGAGAAGTTCCGATAGGAAAGTGGCTTGCGACTAGGTAGCGTAACAATAATGACAGGGATTTACCGTAACTTTGTAACAATAATGACAGGAATTCGGCAACGCTTCGTAACAATAATAACAGCAATTTAGCGACACTTCGTAACAATAATGACAGCGATTTAGCAAAAACTTCGTAACAATAAATACAGCGATTTGGCGCCACTTCGTAATAATATTGACAGTTATTTGGCAACACTTCGTAACAATAATAACAACGATTTGGCGACATGTTGTAACAAAAGTGATAGCAGTTTGGAGAAGAGGATTACTTGCTTAATAAGCTAGCAACTAGGTTCATCAAATTCCAATTTCTAAAATTTGCCCATATCAGATTGAAGGTTAGCTTTTTGTTTCGTTCGTCATTTTAATATTAATAATCATAAAAAATAGTCATTTAATGTTTATTATGTATTAAATAAATTTAAGCTAATGAGTTAAAAAAGTTTCTCTATCCTGTTTTTAGTGTAACAATTTTGTGCAATGATAGTCTTTTGGCAAACTAGTTGGTTACGAACATAATTGTATACATACTAACATATGCATATACACATAAAAATGTGTACGTAAACAAATTAACATTAGGGTTATAACATTTTAGTATTTTTTGTGTACCTTTAGTTTCTTGCTTTAAAAGTAAAGTTATGTTTTACAAGTAATTAAAAATCATTGGTTTTATTTACTTTTAAAAAAGGTAACCCAGTATCATTATTGATTACACATTTTGGGTCCCAAAAATTATTAAGGAAAAATTTTGTTTAAAAGTTATTAACCTGGGTCTCAAGATATTTCAAAAACTACACTTATTTTATTATAATCTATGTATCTCCATAAAACACTGGTTATTTTGAGACCTAGACTAAAACACTTATTGAAAATAAATTTTCACTGATATATGGGATTTACTGATTGATAGATTTTTTGTTTCCGTCTCCTTAAGCTGAATCTTTGTTGATGTATAGAAATTGATTATATAATTTTATTATGACGTTTTTTCAATAATCATTTTTAGCCTTTCTAGTTTAAAAACTTAAAAATAACTGGTTATGATTCTTCTCTTTCAATCAGAATGGTTCTGCTTTTTCTCTTTTCATAAGAATGGTTCTGATTCTTTTCTATTCATTAGAACAATTTTTTACTATTCTATGTGCTCTTTCAATGCCAATCAGCTTTGAGATTAAGTTTAGAACTCAAAATATTTTGAATTTTTTTTTCAGTTTAGTCTCTAGTTTTATTTACACTTTAATATCATTTATTCTGCAACTTTGAGTCTTTAAACATCATTTATTCTGCAACTTTGAGTCTTCAAACATCATTTATTCTGCAACTTTGAGTCTTCAAACGTCATTTATTCTGCAACTTTGAGTCTTCAAATGTCGAGTTTCAGCAACTTCTTGTTTTTAATTACTGACACTTTTTCTTCCTTTTTCTCTTTGTTTTCAGAATACTTCAGTTTCTATTTTGCCCATGAACTCGTAAACCTTTTTTCTTGTTTAAGCTAAGATTTTTTTTATTTTAATTCATTTATTTATTTTTTGTAAATTCACCGGAAACCTATGTATTTAAAACAGGAACAAACTTTGAAGTTTGCTCTTAATTTAAATGGCTTACTACAAAATTTGTATTTATTTTTGCTATTATTACTACGAAACCTGTTGCTTTTATTATTGTTTATTATATGTTATTGCTAATATTATTAACAAATTCGTGCTTGGTTTTCAAAAATAGCGGTTAAATAAAAGTTATTTAAAATTATAGCTTGTAGAACTATTTAAAAAATTAATTTATAATATTTAACATTTAACATTTTTAATATTGTCTTTTCTAGATTCTACATAAGTTATTTTCAAAAACTTTTTTCATAGAACACTGCTGAAAATAATTAAACAATTTCATCTTATCTTTATTACCAATGTTGTTTATATGGAAAGAAAGGAATCAATATTTGAGCCTCTGGATTGTAATGTCAACGCTGTAACTACAAAATAAAAATAAAAAGGAAATTTACTTATATAAAAGTTTTGATAAAACAAAGCATTAAGAAAAGATAGCAAATAATGCTTAACAAACTAAATTATTTCTTGTTAGCTGTTTCTTTTTTAAATCTTGTTATATAGGTGCTTTATGAAGATCTAACGGTTTTATCACAAAATATCATGAAAAAAGTTTTTGTTTGTCTTTTGTTTTGCCTCCTGCCTTAACGATATTGCAAATATGATTGGAGCTCGGACATCTTTTTTCTAAAGCTCATGCTCTAGCTACTGCGCCACCGCTGATTTACAACGTTTCCAAAGTTATAATGTCCGTGTTACAGGAAATAACCGGATAACTGAAAATGACCGTATTGCTTAGTTGGTTAAAACGTTACACTACGCGCATCAGCTGTATTTCGTTATTTACAATGTTCCCTAATTTACAGTGTCCGTGTTACTGAAAATAACTGGATAAATGAAAATGACCGGATTGCTTAGTTGGTTAAAACGTTAAAGTGCGCACACGAGCTCCATTTTGTTATGCAAAAATGTTGAATAATAACAGACACTACTCAGAATTCTAATCACTAAATAAAATCCTTTGAACTTGAGTTCTTTTCTTTGACACTAAATGAAATGAGTTTCTTTGATCGTAATTTTACTTGTTTCAAAATTAACAATAATAAATTTTAAGATGTATAAGTTATATATTATATATTATATTAGTTTTAAGATGTATAAGTTATATTTAATGGCATTTTAGTTATATTGTCTATATAATCTAATTAATCGCCAGCTTTAAATACAACTAATAAACAACAAAAGTAAGGTTAATCTTAAAGTATTTGCTATCAAGTTGGGTTTAAAGCAAATAATACGCTTTGAACTTATCTTTAAACTAAAAAACAAAAAAATTAATAAATAAAGCGTGGCAAAAATATGTTTAAAAAAGTAGTTGATTAAAATCAAGGCCTATGCACTTCGCGAAACTCCTGTTAATTGATCGAAATTGCATTCTGGGATGTCCTGCCGGACTCCTTCCGCAACTAACACAAATATTTATTTTTTTTAAATAAACTTTGCATCTTTGTTTTATGTGATATTTGTAAATATCTCAATTTTGTATTCAAGATATCTCAATTTTGTAACACTAAGATACATCAATTTTGTTAAAATTACCATTAAAATGTTTCCATAGGAATAAAATAATGGGGAAAAAAACGTTTTGTAGAACAAAAAGAGTTTTGTAGAACATAAAGTTAGTGTAATTTTTTTATAACATAAAAGTATATTATTATACATAAAAGTTATTATTATTATACATTAACAAAAGTTATTAATATACATTATAACATAACAAAGTCTCATTACAAAGATTAAATTGAAAAAATAGTATAATAATATACCAAAGGGCAATACGTGAATTTTTGAAATTGCAATTTGGAAGCAATATTATTTTTTTGGACTTTTTGGGTGGATATTCTTTTTTGGGTGGATATTCTTTTTTGGGTGGATATTCTTTTTTGGGTGAATATTCTTGTAATAAACAACATACTTTTTTTTAAAGTTATTAGTGCATCTTATTAAAAAAAAAATTAAAAATGTAGCATCATAATATATTATTTATAAAGAATACGTGCAATTTTTTTTACATTTGACTTATTGCGTGGGTTTATGTCTCTGTTTAAAAATTTTATGAAATAAAAAATTCTTGTAACAACAAAAAACAGAACAATGTTTTTTTTTCCTAATAAAGCGCATGTTCTTCATGTTGATTGTGCAAAAACTGAAAATGACATTTTTTTTTAATTTTATTTATGAGAATCATGGCCAGTCCATCTCTTTCAAGATATTTATCAATTAATTTTGAAAAAGTTGTTTCCATTTTACAAACTAGTGACATAAAAGCTGATGGATTGTCAGCTGAACTAAGAAATAGTACATCTGCACACCTATGACATAATTTAACCTTTTGAATAAGCCATCCAGCCGTGTGTAAAAGGGCTTGATCCTTTGGTTGCATTAAAATTTTTCCAGTAAACATATAAAATGACCCTGGATGAAAATAAGATGTTCTTTTAGGTATGTTATTTTCTGTTTCATAAATTCCACAACTAGTGGTTGCTTGATTACAACACTTCATAAAATCATTTAGATTGAAAGCTGTCTCAAAATTTTAATCCTTTATACAGTTGCTATTGGATTTACTTTTTTCTACAGATAAAAGTAATAAAGCATTTCTATAAGCAGCTCGAAATTGTCTAACATTTGGACAGTCATTCCAACCACCTTTGCTTCGAACAATTGAAAAAAAATTTTCAATGCAGTCCTGATTAAAACGAGAAGTACAAACAAATTGAAAACCTTCAGAAAATAGCTCTCTACTTAAGGTTAGAACACTATTAATTGTGACACTTAAACCCCAATGACATGATATACTTGCTTGACTTCTAACATTACAAAATTTTCATTTCTCAATCCGATGCTTTAACTCTTCCAACTGAGAAATACTGGCTCCTTTTAAAGTTAGAGCACATCGAGCTGGTTTATCTGCATATAATTTATATGAATTCAATATATCGAATAAAGTATCCATGCGTTCAACAAAT